GCATATCAGATGAAACAAATCTCAAAGATCTCAAACAAGAAACCTGGTTCGAGGTCTACCAGATTTGAAATACAAGAAAACAGAGTTATGCAATGCCTCGCACTCTAGGAAAACAAGTAAGAAGTTCTTTCAAGTCTATACATCATGTTTCCACTGATCGTGCTTTGCAGCTTCTTCATATGGACCTATTTGGACCAACCAGAACACAAAGTATTGGTGACAGGAAATTGTTCAGACTCAAGTATTCTCAGTCTGAACATTTTTCAGACTCACGAAAACAGGTACGTTCCTTATTCAAATTTTGGCGGGTATAAAATTGACATTTTTGGCAGGATACTTGTATAATTCGTTATACTTGGAAGCAAATCAGGTATGCATTCTACTTTATCTGCTAAAATCTGCCTAATATATTGATATGTTTGGTTAAGTTTTAGAGAGAATATTTTCTTCCTACTTGTTTTGGGATATCTCTTAATTTCTAAAAGTACTTTTCTCCTTCCAAAAGGTTATCAACTTCCTTTTTAAGCCCGTCCTTCTCTTTTTCCAAACCCTACCAGTACGATCTTTTTCTCTCAAAAACCTTCCGATATACAGAGACTCTCCTCTTCTTCTTCCAAAAGATCGAAACTTTCGTCTTCAAAGGTGATCATAATGCCGGTCAAGATGGTGGCCCACAGAAGATCTTCTCGTATTCTTAATCAAGACTCAAAATCTACCGCAGCGGCGGAATTTTTAGAAGTTTCAGACTCAGAATCCGATCATCATGTCAACCCTTCTGAAGCGTCAACCCCTCAGCGTTCGTCTCCACCGAAATCGTCTGGTAAAACTGATTTTCGGTTCATAAACATTAAACGTGTGTGGGAGAATTATCAAAGGCTGAAAAGGAATAATGCCTCTGAGTCAGCTCTTCGTGCTTGTCTGAAAGACAACAATCTTCGCTCTGAAACTCACCTTGCGAAAATCTATTCGAATACCGCACTAAATCGGGGCAAGTTCCAACCAAAGACTACTCCACAAGAAACTTCTTCCGTAAAGGGCAAAGAAAAAGTTGGAGAAGCTTCAACTCCATCTGAAAAGAAATCGGTTCATGTAAGCCCTAAGACATCTAGTGCGTCAAAATTTGTTGTTCCGGATGATGATGCACGATTTTTTGAGAATTTTGAGATGAAAGTTGGAATAGCATCTCGGCTTGCCCGGAACAGAGGCTTATTCGAAGCATCGCGCATCGATGTATTACAGTGTTACTTGATAGAGGAGTAATGAACAATAGAACTGTAGATTTCGAGTATTTGGAGAAGGCTGGAATTTCTGTACAGAACCTGTTTGAAAAACTAGGGGTTTATGAATTTTGCCTTCAATCTGCCAACACTTATGCTGAATTGACTGCCTACTTTTATTCGAATCTTTCAATTCTGTCACCAAACTGGTTACAGTTTACTATTGGTGACAAGAAAGTTGATTTAAAGGCGCATGAGTTGGCAAGGATAATTGGAGCCACACACTCCACTTTTACACCATTGGCAGTAAGTCTTGAAGAGGCTTCTCAGCTAGTTTCTGAAAATCCAAATTTTGCTCAAGGATCAAAAAGACATCTCTCCTATTCTGACTTATCAAGACGATCGGTGATCCTGCATAAGATCATCATCAACTGTTTAAAGCCAAAGGATGCCTCAAAAACTGACCTTTCGAAATCAGAGATCAAGCTCATTTGGGCTATCTTGACAGGTCAATCCTTCTCTCTTCCTCACCTCATAATATTCCATATGTACAGAGCATTGCAGAAAGATAAGGGTCATCTGCCATATGGAGCTTTGATCACTCGTATCTTCATGTATCTCAATTTATCTATTCCTGGTGAGTTGCGAGAAACTATGCTTCCCTTATGTTTGTTGGAGAAAAAATGCTCTCCAAAATGAAGAAATTTGAAGATATCGGGACATAGTAAAAGGAAAGAGGCTCAACAATCGGAGGCCAAATCTTGGCAAGAAAGTTCGAAAGAAAAGGAGCAAAGGAAAAGAACTAGTTCAAGAAGCAAGCAACCGATTCTCCAACCCCAATCAAGGTGTACAGAAAGAAAAGAAAAACTCTTCTGCATGATGAAAATGATGAAGCAGAAGCAGCACACTTTGAATCAGGTCACACTGCAGAACCAGAACATGTTCCTGAACCAGTTCCAAATGTTTCAGAACCAATTCATGAAGAGCATGTTACTGAAGAACAATCACCTGTTCAGGGGGAGATTCCACCAGAATCAGCTGCAGGGTACAATCAGTCTGAAAAAGCTAATGACCAAGGTCAGCATTCTGAAAATCAGAACATCCTTTCGATTCTGCTCGAGATAAAGGACAAGCAGGCTGCTCTAGAGCAAAATTTGCAGAACCTACAGAAAATTGTTGAGGAAAACACCAAGGCTCAACAACTTCAAGCAGCAGCAGACAAAGCGGAATTAGAAGGAGCCATTGCTATGTGCTCATCCAGCATGGATAAAGCCATAGGTCAATGCAGTTCGAAGATTGAGGAGGCTGTCTCAATATTGGAAAATTTTCAACTGATTCGTACTCCTAAAAAAAATAGCCTGTTTTTCAACATTTCTCTCTATTTTTTTCAATTGGTCTGTAATATTTCTCATACTTATTGTTAGACTGATTGATTACTTAATATCAATGCATTATTCTATCTATTACTATTCTTTTTGTTGATGACAAAAAGGGGGAGAAATCATATTGCAGATTTACAGGTTATTCTCAAAGGAAGAAAGACACAGATATCAACAGAGTTTGCTATTTCAATCTGTGTTTATTGAGCTTAATATGTTTAAAATAATTCAATCGCAAAGAAAGTTTTGTCACCATCAAAAAGGGGAGATTGTTGAGGAAAACTCCTATTAATTTTGAAGTTGACAAAACCTTTCTATGTTATTGTAAATCGATACTTATTCCGAACTATTCCAGTGTCCGTATATTCTGAAGCTCGTAAGAAAGTTATTCGGACTTTACAATCCGTCAAGTATATTTCGAAGACCCACATAATCGCAGCTTCCGAGATTCGAAGCGAAGTTATTCGAGATGCGTATGCGAGAAGTTATTCGAGATGCAGATGCGACGAAGAAATTATTCGACGAAGAAATTCGTCGACGCAGAAATTCTTCGGATGCAGACGCAGAGTTCTTCGATGCGACGCGAGAATATCTTGAGACGCTTAATTCGTAACGTAACACAATAGCTAGTGATCCGGCATGGATTTCACAGAAGGAATGTTCTGATTGTCTCAATCTGAATCAAACTGATTGACAATCAAACATCATGACAAGAATGCATTACAACGGACAAAGTTCTACTTATGGAAACCAAGATTCTGATTGTATGGGAGACCAGAATCAGCGGGATTCAGAATCTGTCAACCAACGGCTACTCAATCCTTACTATACAAATCTGTCCAAGGTAAAGATTGGAAGATGATCCTCTGAAAGCTGTCCAACGGCTAGTTTGGAAGCAGAGGAGTATTTAAGGAGATCAACGAGCAGCAGAAGGTAGTACATAATCAAGAATCAACAAGTCCAAAGTCTGAGCTTAATCCAATCATTTTTCTCTTGTCATTCTGAGCCAAATATTAAGATCTTGAGGAACACTTTGTAAGAGTGATTGTGTGAGATAGAGAGTCCTATCATACACAAGAGTGTAAACACTCAGAAGTTGTAACTCCTTTTGATTACATAGTGAAATCCAGCCAGTAGGCTGTAAGCGTGGGAGAGTGGACGTAGGCTTGCTATAAGCCGAACCACTATAAACTTGTGTGCGGATTCTCTATCCCTTATCTCTTACTTTACATTCTCGCACATCAAGAGCACGCCTATATAATATCTGTCTTGAATCTGAATTTTATTCGACTCTTCGTGATTTATTTTGTTTCCGCATAAATTACTAAAAATTGTTTTAGATCACCTATTCACCCCCCTCTAGGTGATCCTTGCTAGCTACATCACTATAAACTTCTTTCACTGGTTGACGAAATCTACTTAACTTAGAAAAGTGAGGGTTTGTTGGGTGATCATCTTTCCTAGGTATCCTACTACTAGATCAGTAACATGACCTTTTTTTTTGCTAGAAATCAGTAACATGACCTTGAAACCATGTTTGTTAGCTTTTGCTAGAGTTGACTTTGATATTAATCCATTCGTTGAAGGGTTTTGGAATTATTGATCTAGTCTATGTCAATTTGATTGCTCGCCATATGTTAGCATTATGGGGTTAATGGGTTTCAATCAAATGATCCCAATTGTCACATGGGAATCATGATCCCCCCTATGATTTGTACTGACTTTTTGGTTGAAGGTCGATAATTCACAGTACGATACAAGTGGGTTACATCAAATTGGAGAAGTTGTGGAACTAGCAGCTTATTTTGCCTGTCCACCACCATTCTCATCACAAGCGATACTCCTAACTTGACCCGTGGATTGAGAAATTTGTATGGACATTGATGTTGGGTAGGAATCTACATTGCTTATATGTTAGGATTCTCTCCTATTCTTCAGTGTTGTTAGCTTTTGTCTAGATTGAATATTTTATAAATTGAAAATTGAGTTGATTTAATTGGCGTCTCTTTGTGTCTTCCATTGATCTCTCCTGTCTATAATCGATGTTAATGTCCCCTTTCTATGTATGTACTATGTGAGACGAATCAACGGCCAATACAACGTAAACGGATAAAAGAAGATTGGATGAGAGCAATACAAGTTTTTAAAACTTGTGCGAAAATGCAATCAAGTCCTAAAACTTTCAATTTGTACATTTAAGTCATACAACTCACGACGAATTATTGAATTTGTCACCTTAAGATCAAGTGAAAGTGAAAAGTTCTTAAATTTGTCACCTTAGATAATACCTTAAGATGACGACGTGATAATTTTTTTTTTTGGTCAGAAAATTAGATATATCGTTCACTAAGAAAGGATAGTAGGACCCGATAAATGGGCATCAGTACATAAGAGCTCCCAAAGTGCTTGGGGAGGGGAGAAGACCCAATTCAAAGGTAGGTAGTTTTTTTTGTGGGCTTTAGCAACCCAGTCTGCTACAAAGTTGGCCTCTCTATAACAATGAATAACCCAGATACTAGAGAAGGATCGTAGCAGGTCTTTGCATTTCGAGATAAGCGCGTGAACTTCCCAACTAAGTTGATCTGGACTCTCTAAGGCATTGACTAAGTCCAAACTGTCAGACTCAAGAACAAGGACTTCGTGTCGTTTGGGAAAGAAATGAGTTAGGGCTTCTAACAAAGCGAGAGACTCAGCCATCAGCGGGGATGACGTTGCCACCGTATGAGCTGCTCCATCCAGCAACCTCCCGACGGAATCACGGCAAACGCAGGCGACCGAACCTTCCGAAGCTCCAGGTTCGTACGCTCCATCTATGTTTATCTTATAAGTTCCATACAGCGGTGGATTCCAAGTCCCTGAAAAATCGTCGGCTTTGTTCCCAGATCTGCTTGATTTGGGGTTCCATCTGTTAAAGCTCTTCAACCCAACTAGAACAGAGTCGATGAGGCTGATTGTGTCAGGTTTTCTGTTCTTGAAGATGGCTTGGTTGCGCGCCTTCCATATATTCCATAGTGTTGCAACAACCAGCTCTAGATCAGGTGAGTTGCTTGACTTTCCTTTCAAATTCCCGAACCAATCTTCAATTCGAGTAAGACCCTGACTTGATATATGAACATTCAGCACAGGGTTCGACCAAATTTCCTTCATCCAAGGACACAATAAAAATAGGTGCTCCACAGTTTCCACGCCTCGATTGCATAAAGAGCATGTGGGATCAGGTATAACTTTTCTTCGAAATAAATTCTCTTTAGTTGGGAGAGCATTCTAGCATAAATTCCACATGAAAATTCTAACCTTGGGTGGAGAGTGCAATTTCCATATATCTGTCCAGAGGGTGGGAGGAGGTTGAAAAGAAGTTGAGGCTTGATTTTCATTCTGTTTATTTGCTTTCTCTCGAATGTAGTTGTATCCACTTTTAACTGTGTACTTGCCTGCTTGAGTTCCAGTCCATACGAGCCGGTCTTTCTCTATTTGGGGTTTAATTGGGATAGCAGGGATTTCTCTCACTAATTGATCCTCAAAATGTTCAGTTAAAACTGTTTCATCCCATATGCCTTCCTCACTAATAATGAGTTCAGAGACAAAACGTGGTTCATCTCTATTAGCAGGACCTCCTATGATTCCCCTCTTCAGCCATTTATCCTCCCTGATTCTTATCTGTGAACCATCCCCTACTGCCCACAGCACTTGGGGTGAGATGGAGTCTCTTCCTAGGATTAGACTTTGCCAACCCCATGAGGGGCGTTGTCCCTTTTCCGCATGCCAGAAATCTTTATGAGGAAAATAAAGGCCCTTAAATAGAATGCTCTAGAAAGAGTTTGGACTGTTACTCAGACGCCAAGCTTGCTTTCCTAACATTGCTTTATTGAAGGAGAGCAGATCTCTAAATCCCAGGCCACCCTTATCCTTTCTTGTCTTCAGAATATCCCATCTCTTCCAGTGAATTCCGGCTTTGGTCTCATTGGTTTTCCACCAGAATAAAGCAATTTTCTGTTCAATAGCCTTACAAATAGAAATCGGGATCTTAAAAACAGACATGGCATATTGTGGTAATGCTTGAACCACCGCTTTAAGCAAAACTTCTTTACCAGCTTTTGACATTAGTTTTTCCTTCCACCCTTCTAGTTTGGAATTGACTCGTCCTAAAATCCAAGCAAACATTTGTTTTTTCGATACTTCCCAATCCGAAGGAATTCCAAGATATTTGCCAGTTTTGTCAATAATAAGAACTCTCAATTCCCTTGCCATATTGTCTTTCAGAGTTTGGGGGCAATCACTACCAAAGAAAATCTCCGATTTGTTTAAGTTTATAGCTTGTCCAGATGCTAGGCAATATTGATTCAGGATAGATGCCAAATTCTGACACTCTAGAATTGTACCATTCAAGAAGAATATTGAGTCATCCGCAAAGAGTCAATGAGAAAGGGTGGGACACCACCTGTTCAGTTTAATCCCTGTGATACTTCCATTGTCCACAGCTGTCTTTAGTCATGGCCACGAGCCGGTTTCGGCCCGGTCAAACCCGGGCCCGGACCGTTGACCAGGCCCGCGGTTGGGAACCGGAACCGACCCGTGGCCTACGGGCCCGGTTCCGGTTCCAGAAATTTTGGAACCGGCCCGGAACCGCCGGTTCTGGGCCCGGTTCTAAAAAAAAATTAAAAAAAAAAAAACCCTGCACCTGCAGTGCAGCAAGGCCCCACCCGCACCTCCTCCAGTACAGCAGTACTCCACGCCTCCTCTCGTCCTTTCCTGCACTCCCACCGCTCTTCCGCTCCACACCTCCACCCTCTCCTCCTCCGTCCACACCCCTCTCCGCCGGCGCCCACTCCCACTCCCCCTCTCGCCACCGCCGCCCTCCACCTCCCCTCCTCCTCATGCCCTCCTGGTCCTCCCATCCTTCCCTCCCTTGCATCGGCGTCAAGCTCATGACCCATTTCCCCGGCAACTCCTTCGCGCTGAACCTGCCAGTGGTCCATGCCGTCTTCGTCCTCTTCAGCTCCCTCACCGGCCAGCCCCTCGCCACGGCAGACTCCACCGTGTTGACCCTGTACCGCACCGCCTGCGTCTCGGGCCTCGCCTCCGAGCTCCTCTTGCGGACCGACAGCAAGGTCCTCGTCATGGTCGGTCCCTCCTTCCCCCCTCTCCCCTGTGCCGGTCCTCTCCTTTTCTCCTTCGCCCGCCTTCCGTCTTCCCAGATCTAACCCCCGCCGCCGTCGCCCCCGCCCATGGTCGCAGCCACCGATGCCGATGCCTTCTCCCCTTTTCTCCTCCTCCCCCCTCGAACCGAAACCAGCCGGAACCGGAACCGGAACCGGCCCGGAACCGCCGGTTCCGGTTCATACATGGCCACGAACCGGAACTGCCGGTTCCTGAACCGTGGCCATGACTAGCTGTCTTCATTAATGAGGACAGTACATTTGCCACTAGAATGAAAAGGTAGGGAGATAGGGGATCCCCTTGCCTAATCCCTCGAGAAGGTTTGAAGTAATGGAGAGGTTCTCCATTAAACTTAACGCTGAATGAAACTGTTGTGACACATTTCATGATCCATCCCACCCATTTCTCATCAAAGCCAATCTTCATTAGGCATGCCTCCAAGAAATCCCATTCCACTCGATCGTAGGCTTTCTTCATGTCTAACTTGAGAACCGCTTGAAATTTCTTTCTTCTCTTTTGAATTCTAATTTGATGCAACACCTCCTGGACAATAAAGATGTTATCTTGAATTTGCCTCCCGCCAACGAAAGCACTTTGTTCCATTGCAACAAGTTCTGGTAGAAGTGGTTTGAGTCTATTGGCCAGCACTTTTGAGATAATCTTGTAGCCAAAATTACATAAACTAATTGGGCGGTATTGATCTAGTCTCTCTGGGTTCGGGACTTTTGGGATAAGGGAGATGTGTGTTTTATTTAAATCTGGTGGCAGGGATCCAGTGTTGAAGAAATTCCTCACCTCCTTTAGAATATCCCATTTAATCTCTTCCCAATTCTACTAATAAAACAAACCACTAAGGCCATCAGGCCCCGGTGCTTTTGCTGCGCCGAGCTGGAAAGTTGCATTTGTTACTTCTTCCAAGGTTGCCTCAGCCAACAAGAGGTGATTCATCTCTTCTGTTACCACCCGAGATACCTGATCCAGAACTGGGCAGAAATGTCGAGGGCCGATAGATTGATATAGATCTCGGAAAAAAAGTATAGTATGTTCTTTCAACGCACCGCTCAAATAGCCATGTATTCTCTAAATTCAAGCATAGAGATCCTATTCCTCTCGTCGCCCGAATGGTAGTTGCATGAAAAAACTTTGTGTTTCTATCTCCCCATTTCAACCAATTAATTCTCGATCGCAGCCCCCAATACATCTCTTCCTGCCTCCATAAATAATCAATATCTTCTTGCGGGTTTTTGATTCTCACTTTGTCAAAGGACCCCATGGTATTGTTTGTCAGCCACTACAATTCCTGTTTCAGCAAGTTGATTTCCCTATGTCCATTCGCGAATTTCTTCTTACTCCATTTGGAAAGAGCAAAAGTTACGGCCTGCAACTTCCCGACTAAATCCTTTTCAAAGTGAGTGGGAGAGCTCCAAGTTTCTTTCACCACCTTTCTACATTCATCACTCTCAAGCCAGAAGGCTTCAAACTTGAATTCCTTTTTTCGTTTTACAGGGTTAGCCCAAAGAGATAGAAGTATAGGACTGTGATCTGATCCTATTGCTGGGAGAGCATAAGCTTCCGCTTCAGGGAACATCAACCTCCATTCAATCGTACATACCACCCTGTCAAGTCGTTCTTTAATGTACTCGTCCCCTTCTCTATTATTGGCCCAAGTGAACGCACACCCTTTACTGTCAATGTCGGTCAATGAACAGGCATCTAGACAATCCCAAAAAGCATTCATTCTATAGTTTTCAGCCAAGCGCTTTCCAACTTTTTCCCTGTAAAACCACACCTCGTTAAAGTCACCCAAACACACCCAAGGCAGTACATTCATGGAACTTATATTTTACAATTCCTCCCAAAGTTGTAGCCTTTTTTGGTACAAATAAGAAGCATGAACAAATGTAACTCTCATGTCCTTTCCACTAACCACCTCTTTACACCTCAAATTCACAAATTCCTCAGACATTGAGTCTATTTCCAGTGAAATTCTTTCATCCCATAGAATAGCCAAGCCTCCCGCCGTGCCCACAGGATTAACTACAAAATAACTCTGAAAATGGAGTCTTCTCTTTATTCTCTGAATAACCTCAGCCTGATTTTTCTTTTCCATCAGAAAAACCACAGTGGGCCTAAAACGAGCCACTAAAGCTCTTAATTCTCGGACTGTCAAGGGTGTGCCCAACCCTTGACAGTTCTAGCATAGTATATTCATGGTTCACTTGGTGGCTTACTAGGCTAGCCACCAAAGCCCATGCAGCGACTTCTTCAGTCGTACGAACAGGTGTTTCAAGAAGTTGAGTTTCATCCAGCCAAGTTGGGGTTTTAGGTAGTGAATTGTAAGGACTGAACCTCTTTTGTTTTTTGGTTGAGGGAGTTTTTGGTTCCTTACAGCTCTTCTTTCTGTTGCCTTCTGAACTTGTTTGGCCAGGCTGAGAATTCAAGCCTTTCTCATGAGTAGGGCCTGTAAGCAGAAGTGCTCTTTTACCATAATTATACATTGTTATCTCCTACGTGTAGTAGGGATCTGTCCTCATGTGATCTCCCTGTTGTATATTGGAATTAATTAAACTCAAGCGACAAAATTCACACATTGTCGCTATTGATTCGATCGATTTTGAACCTACAGTGACAAACATGAAATTTATAGAGCGGGAACGAGAACAATAGAGAGAAAGTAGTAGAGAGGACACGAGATGAAAGGCAAAGTCTACTGGGAGCTTGGATTCATAGGCGGAGAGCTGGGCGGTGGACAATGTATTGACTTGAGGCTTATAACTAATAGGCAATATGCTACGAGCGAGAATAAACGGACATTATGTTGGGAACCATACATCGATTCCAGAAAAATAACCTAACCAAACGATCCTCACTAGCAGAATATAATAATAGAAAGAACAGAATTGAAAGAACACACCAGAGAATTTGTTATCAAAGTTCACCCAAACTTGGGTTACGTTTTCGCGCAGAGGCACTCTGCAAATCCACTAGATTTTGAAGAAAGTAGGAATATAATAATTATCTTCTCTCAAGATCGGGGCACAAAGAGATTGAGAATACTCACAAAGAAAAAACTCACTTTTTCTTCTCTCTTTTCTTTTCTCTCTATTTTCTTCTCAGTTGCTTTTCTTCTCAGCGCTTTGACGGCTAGTTTCTATCAATAGCTGATAAAGTATAGCTTTTAACCTAAAAGCAAAATTAATAGAAAAGACAAAAAAGCTCTTAATAATAATATTTGGCTTCATCCTCCAACAATCTCCCACTTGAAGATAAATATACCCGATGCACCAAGCAACTTTGCATCCATCTACTTCAAAAACTAGTAA